TAATGATGAAGCCCTACTCTGCAGAATACACATGCCCTTTTACATCAGATATCCTGCAGCTGGTGTGGATGTGACTAAAGATGCTCAGCTGCTGAGAGAGACAGAAACAGCCCATATACATTGAGTGACTGCTGTCCTGATTTGTCCTGAAGGGCTCTGATTCATTCTTCTGACATGACATGACTACTCCTTTTGCTCAAAAACAAAAAGGAAGCAGACCAGTTTGGTGTTGATACACAGTGTGGATGACTCTCGAAACATTGCCCTGAATGAAAGAAGCCAGATACAAAAAAGTACATGCTGTGTGATTCCATTTATTTGAAACTCTAGAACAGGCAAAACTAATTTGCAGTGATGGAAGACAGATGAGTAGTTGTCTCAGGCAGTGGTGGGGGGTGAGTGACTGCAGTGGGGCACATGGGGCATTTGGGGAGTAATGACAACATTGTCTATCTTGATCGTGGTAGTGGTGACACTGGTGGATCACTCATGTATACATTTGCAGAAACTCATAATACTATATAGTGAAAACGGATGCATTTTGTTGTATGTAAATTATACCTCGTTAAAGTTGGTTTTAAAAAAGAAAGTATACTATTTTAGACAATGAATGATGTGGTTTCTCTACATATGTGTGAAGACAGAGATTCAGGGCTGCCATTGCTACTGTGGCTTCCAGGAGATCCCTCCTGCTCTCCTTTGCCATTGGCCCCATCCCTCTTGGCCTGTGCTCTGTGCTCACTGGACGTGAGGGACACACACTCCTCCAGTGGGTTCCTGGCCCTCTTGTCCATGTGGAAGTGGCATACTATGCAGCAGGCTGCCAGAGAACATGTGTCGGGGCAGCCTCCCTCACTGCTTGGGATGAGATCACTCTCCTTGCTGTTTGATGGGGCTCAGTCTTGTCTGCCCTCCAAGGAGCTATAGACGAGGTTCTCCCCAGAGGTGCCCAGCCTGTGCACTTTGGCTGCCTTCTCACCTGAAGACCAAGGGCATCATCATTGTGCCGCACACCTGTGGCCCATCTGAAGCACTTCTGCTGGGAAGCTCTGACCTAGGAAAGGTACCCATGCCTGTTCCTAAGTCTTGCTAGTGAGGTCAGAGTAGAAATGGGGAGGATCTGACATAAAGCAAACAAATAAGCATGTATTTCTTGGTCCCAGGGAATTGTGGGAGGAAGAAGGAGGGAGGACGGGAAACGGTGGACAGTGGAGGGCAGTGGCAGGAGCAGTGCGAGGAGAAAAGGAGTGGGAGGGGAAGGGAAGTGAGAGTGGTCAGCTTCTGGGCTTTGGTCTAGAGAATTTTTGGCAAACTTTCCTATAAAGGGCTGATACTAACTATCTTAGGCTTGTGGGATCATATGGTATCTGTCACAACTACAAACTGCCATTGCAGTGGAAAAGCAGCCAAGGACAATGGGTAAATGAATAAATGTGGTTATGTTCCAAGATAACCTTATTTATGGATGGTGAAATTGGAATTCATGTAATTTTCATGTGTCACAAAATGTTCTTTAGATTTTTCCTCAACCATAAAAAATGTAAAGACTTTTTTTTTTTTTTTTTTTTAGACAGAATTTTGCTCTGTTGCCCAGGCTGGAGTGCAGTGGCATGATCTCAGCTCACTGCAACCTCTGCCTCCCGGGTTCAAGTGATTCTCCTGCCTCAGCCTCCCAAGTAGCTGGGATTACAGGCACGCACCACCACTCCCAGGTAATTTTTGTATTTTCAGTAGAGATGGGGTTTTTAGGCCAGGAGCCACTGCGCCCAGCCTAAAAAATGTAAAGACAATTCTTAACTCCTCATCCTCATAAAGTGGGTGGTGGGCTTGATTTGGCTATTGGGGCATAGCTTGCTAACTCCTGATTTAGAGTTGAGTTCTTAGTGTGGGGGGTCCTGAGGGTGGAGGACTTATGGAAAGGTGTGGCTCTTGGAATTCTGAGTGTCAGCATAGCTAAAGAAGTGATCACATTTAGCTTTTCTAGGATGTTTTCAGTTCCTGTGTGTTTTGGATGGAACCCAGAAGTTCTCTTAGCCCCTGGAGGCACTAATATATTTCATTTGTAAAACTCCCATCCGTAATATAAATGTACTGTTTGATCTTCAGTCATTTGAATTTGACTTTCAAAGAAGTTTTTAGAAATCATTAGGCATGACATAAGTAAAATAATAAAAGAGGGTCATACAATGACATCAATATGTGCTTGGAATGCTTGGAACCAATAGTTATGAATAATCAAATTCTGTGTTTTTGAGAGCTTAAAAACAAGGTGTGTGTGTGGTGACTACCTGGATAAAGTGTAGGGTGGGAACCCCTCCAGGTGCCACCATCAGTAGCTAATTTGACAGTGGAACAAGGGTGCACTGCAGTCACTTCCCCTGGTACCGCGTCAGGCATGCCCTGTGGGAAGGGCTGGAATGGGGCCTCTCTCTGGCCATGCGTGATACTGAACACCTTCACACCTTCAGCAGGTGTGTCCTTTAGCTCTGAACACACTGGCAGGTATCCATGGCCAACTCTGCTTTTTGCTCGCTGTCTTCTCCCGCCTGAGCCCCATGTCTTACTCTCATTCTGCATCCCTGGATCCTTCCTCCCATGATTCCCTTTCCCTCCTCCTTGTTACAACACATTCTTCTTTATCTTTATCTTGGAGGTTTCTGCTGAAATCAGGAGTTGTTACTGCAGAGTGGTGCTATTGGACAGCTCCCAGCCCTCCCACTGGTCACTTGGTGGGGCTCTCCTGGACCCACTGTTTTTGAAGTGAGTGTTGGAAAACGGCAGTTTGGCTCAGGAATAATAAGCTGGCTGGGTGCAGTGGCTCACACCTGTAATCCCAGCACTTTGAGAGGCCAAGGCAAATAGATCACATGAGGCCAGGAGTTCTAGACCAGCCTGGCCAACATGGTGAAACCCCGCCTCTACTAAAAATACAAAAATTAGCCAGGTGTGGTGACATGCATCTGTAACCCCAGCAACTTGGGAGGCTGAGGCATGAGAATTGCTTGAACCTGGGAGGCAGAGGTTGCAGTGAGCTGAGATTGCCCCACGGCACTCCAGCCTGGGCAACAGAGTGAGCCTCTCAAAAAAAAGGAAAAAAAGAAAAAGGAATAGTTAAGCTGGATAACAGCCCTGGTTCCTTTCACTTGCTCCCCTGCCCCGGCCCAGGCAGCCCTGACTGCTGGTCTGTGTGTTACAGTGGCCTCTTGGGAGCTGGCTGTCAGAGTCCTGCTCCTGATGTGCTGTGGCTATGGGAGGGCTGGCCTCCCTGATTTCTTCTCTGCTCCCTTCCCTTGCCCCCTCTGCCCTTCTCCATTCACTAGGCATCTTCTCTGTGGAGCCCGAAGATTGTAATTTTGGGTTCTCAGGCCTGTACTCCAACCCAGGGGCTGTGCCATGCTGTGTGTGCTTCATAGCTGCCCCTCCTGTGCCTAGTGCGGGGCTGGGCCCAGAGTGGACCTTGATAACATTTGTTGTCTGGAATTGAATCAGGAGCTCTCTAGTGGAATCTGCCCAGGCCTGGCTGGGAACTGGGAGCTGTAGCCAGTCCGTACTGCCCTGTCCTCAGGGGCCCTCATTCACTGAGGATGCCTGCCTGTTGCTGCACTGCAGAACATTCTGTCATGTTTACTAACAAGGAATCCAGGGGTGGAGCGGGATGGGGACCAAGGAGAGAGTCCTGTAACACCACAGGGCAGAGAGGAATGGAGATGGACTCAGGGACAAGGTCAGGATTACAGAAAGGGACTTTGGCAGGAGCGTTGACACAGGGCAGGGGCAGAGAGGGCAGGAAGCAGAGGGCAGGGGGAGTGAGGTGTGAGTTTCCTGTGGGGCCCTCTATTCCTGGGCAGGAAGGAGAGAGGCTAGGTGCCTCCCAGGGAGAACCATGCCTGACAGGCATATGAGAGCTCCCTTGGCATCCCTGGGCACTGATCACGGAGCACTGGAAACTCAGACTCTTGCCTCTCCTGGATTCTTATAAGAGAGGATTTCAACTCTTAGATTTTGTCCACTGTGGGCGCCAGAGGATACTTGCTGTGAGAAAGGGCAATTTGGGGTGGAAGGAAGGGGATATCTCTGGGCCCCAGTGTTTTGTGGATTGTGTGAGGCACCTGTGAGGCCTTGGAAAAATGATGGGCTGAACCGCAACAGCATGGGCCTGGCCTGAGCTGACACTGCTGCTTGAGTCTTTAACACATTTATTCTTTTCTTCATAAAGGACATTAAAAGGAGGCCTTTCAGCATCAGGTTATATGAAGGACAAGCAAAATTAGGATAAATATGGGTCATCTCCCTGGAGCATTAATTTGATGTGAACATTGGTGGGGAATAGCACCCCTAGCTATGATTATATTAAAACAAATATACACATAGGAGTAAAATGCTGAATTTGAAGATATATATTTAAGGAAATAGGGAGCCCAGAGAGAAATTTTGAGTTTTAGAGGCATATTTAGGCAATGCTCTCAGACCCTTGGAAATCATGTTCTTTCCTCTACCTTTAGCACTGTCACTTTGTCTACATTTCACGAATGAGAAAAACAGGGTCTGGAAGGGTGTGTCAGCAACCTGCCTACGTGATGACACAGAGCAAAGTGGTAAGGGTGGGACCGGAACCTGCATTGGTGGGCTCTGCATTCAGTATGTTATCTACTACACCACAGTGAATTGAGAGTTTCATGCTTTAGTATTTTGATTTCAGTAATGCCATGGAAATAATCAAATCTCACCTGTCTGAATAGTCTTTGGGCACAGCCCCATGTTTCAAATCAATCATGTCTAGGGGGAGGCAATGTGGGGCAGTGGAAAGAGTTAGGGGCTGAAAGTCAAGAGACTGGAATTTATCTTTGACCAGTTCTTTCGATAATAAAGCTCTGTGACTTTAGGCAAATGTCTTCATGCATCTGGGTTTACCTTCCCTATCTGTAACATGTGGTAACTACACAAGATACTGCCAAACAGCCTGGTCTTCTATGATGTGGGACCACTGCTTGCCTTTCTAGAACCTTCAGACCTGTAGATATGCTCTTCTTGGACATTCTGGAGTCTCTGGGGGAAAGGGAAGTCTGCAGCTCAGTTGGCCACCTCTGTGTAACAAATACTGAGAACACTGCAAGTGAAGCCTAGACAGGGTCTGGAAGATCAGCCTTCTTCAGGATACCTCCATCCTTTGCTATGGATCATCTGCCTAGGAGGTTGGAAGCTACTCAAGCAGCTCAAGGAAAAGATGTTGTGAGCATGCACCAGGTCATGAGATTGGAAGAGCTGTCTGCTCCTGGCCTGAGGCCAGTACCCAAAGCTGTCCACATCTCCCAGGGATGACAGTGCCTTTCTTCTTTACTGCTTTCTCTCTCCTCTCATCCGGATTGGATTCCTCTGCCTGTACACAGTCAACTTGGCTACCAGCTAGAGTGGGAGTAACTCACAGCCCCTGAGTCCCCTCCAGAGAGGGCTGTCAACAGGGCTGGCTGCTGAGCTGGGGAAGGTGGGTTGGTCTCACTATCCCGTATGTAGATTTCACTTAATCTCCTTGCTTTCTGGACAGTGCTTCACCTTTACCTTCCTCTGTGCCAGGTATCGCTTATCCTGGGTCTCCCTGGATCAATTTCTCCAGAGATGAAATTATCAATAGCCTACCAGGATAGGCAGTGCAGGGATGGCAGGAGTACTGGGGTAGGAACACTTTCTTATAGACTTCTGCCCTATCCTCCTGTTTTCAGCCCCATTTCTCACCCTGGCTCCAATGCATGAGGCTTTGTGGGGAATTCCCATGGACTCTTTTTTTGATCCTTTTCTTTTCTCTATCTATATACTTTCCCTAGTTGATCTCATCTAGTCCTAGGGCTTTAAATACCTTCTATATATCAATGATTCCCACATATTTATCTTTAGCCTCGATAGCTTTCCTGAATCTCAACTACCTACTCCTCCTGGACATCTCCATTTGGATGCCTAGCATCTTAAACTTAACTGGGTAAACCCGAATGCTTGATTTTTGCCTCCAAACCAGTTCCTTCTTAGTATTTCCCATCAAAGTCATGCTCATACACTGAGTGGCTGAAAGCCCAAACTCAGGATCATGCTTTCCTTCTCCTTTCCCATTTACTGCGTCAGCAAGCTCTGTCCATGCCTCCATGGTATATCATTAGTGAGTTTCCATTGCCACTGCTGACTGCTCCTGTCAAAGCCACTGTCATGTCTTGCCTGGGCTATTCCAATTGCCTCCTGAGTGGTTTCTCTGCTTCCACCATGGCCCTCCAAGGACCCACCTTCCGCACAGCAGCCAAACGATTTCATTAAACATGTCTATCAGGTTATGCCACTCCTTTGTTTAAAATTTCCCAGTGATTTCCTGTTGCCCTTAAAATAAATTTTACACTTCTTACCAAGGCCTCTGTTCCTCTGCAAACACTCTCTTTTCTTTTTAGAGATGAGGTCTCACTCTATTGCCCAGGCTGGGGTACAGCAGCTTCTTCATGTTTTACTGCAGCCTCAAACTTCCAGGCCCAAGTGATCCTTCTGTCTCAGCCTCCCAAGTAACTAAGACAACAGGCATGAGCCACCTCACCTGGCTAATTTTAATTTTTTTAATAAAGGTATTGCCCAGGCTGGTCTTGAACTCCTGGCCTCCCAAAGTGTCGGGATTATGAGTGTGAGCCACTGTGCTCAGCCTAAACTCCTTTTTTTTTTTTTTTTAATACAGGCTTCAGTCACTCTGGCCTTTCTGCTTCTGTCCGATTCCTGCCCCAGGACCTTTACGCTTGTTCTTCCTTCTGCACAAGAAGGAAGACCGCAGCCACAATCTTGATGTTCACTGCAGCCACAACTCCTCATCACACAGGCGCAAGCTCTACATTCTCAGAGAGGCTCTCTTAGGCTATTTTACTAAAGTAGGCACCCCTTCTCCCAAATCATTTGCTAGACCAGTAGTCCCCCACATTTTCGGCACCAGGGACTGGTTTTGTGGAAGACACTTTCTCTAGGGATGGTTTTGGGATGAAACTGTTCCACCTCAGATCATTAGGCACTAGATTCTCACAAGGAGCATACAACCTAAATCCCTCACATGCGCAGTTCACAATAGGGTTTGCACGCCTATGAGAATCTAATGCCACCACTGATCTGACAGGAGGTGGAGCTCTGGTGCTGATGTGAGCGATGGGGAGATGCTGTAAATGCAGATGAAGCTTCACTTGCTCACTGGCCCACGGCTCACCTCCTGCTGGGCAGCCTAGTTCCTAATAGGCCATGGGCAGGTACTGGTTCATGGCCCTAGGGACCCTGCTCTAGAACATCACTTTGTTTTGCTTCTCTTGAAAAATTCATAGTAGGTATCATTATCCAAAATTATTTTATTTATTTGTTTACTTGCATACCAGCTAACTCTCCCCATTAAAAAATGGACTCTATGAGAAAGGGTCCTTGTCTGTATTGCTCATTTTTAATATCTTTATCTACCACAGTGCTTGGAATACAATAGGTGCTCCATACATACCTGTACAATAAAGGAATGAATGACCAGTTAAGCTAAAGGGACTAGGAGCAGAGGCAGTTCCTGGAGAGGGGGATGTGGGTAGAACAGGCATTCCCCAGAGTGTCTCTTGAACTTTTGCTTGATTCTAGGCCAGAGTATGACACAAAGTCTTCCAATTTTATAAAGGGTCAGTGAGCAGAAATTGAAGGGAAAGGTGAGGGCAGGGGCAGTGGATGTGGGTAGCGTGGCACGGTTCAGTGAAAGTACAGTAGGTGTTGCTCTGCAAAGATTTTGCTGTATTCTTTTGTCCCAAGCAGCACAGCTTTTCCGCTGTGACATTCTGTGACTTCTCATGCAGTGTTGTTTTTACAGCATTTGGGTAATTTTCCACATGGTCAGCCAGCTCCATCAAGTACAATGGTGAGGAGTGGGACTCAGAACTGCTGGGAGGGCCCTGAGACCATCAGACAGGGAAGATGCGTGTCATTTGCATCCAGCACTGTCTCCCAGCTGCCCTTTGTGAAGGTGGCTGCTGGACTGTGACATACAGGATGTTCCTGTGTAGTTCTTTTTAAAGAAGCATATTTTTCCTCCATGTTAAAACTAAAATCTGTGGCCTATAGCTCAGAGCAGATGTTAAGAACACATTCTCTCTAAGAGTTTGGGCTGGAGTGTGGGCAATGCTTACTTATCACGATTTCCTTTCCTTTGTGTTTCTCTGTGCTTATTGAAGTTTTTGCCTTGGGGGAAAACAACAAAAACAAAATTGCGATATATTTATGAACAAAGGAGAGAAATGAAACTTTAACCTCTGGAAGAGAGGAAAGAGGGGAGCAAGGTGCCTGAAAATATTTCCTTTAGGAGTGACTGGAGGCTCCAGGGAAATCACAGCACTCCTGTGGAATTTTCGCAGAACTAAGGAAGGCTGCAGTCAGCCAAACTTTTGAAACCTCAGCATCCTAAATCCCAGCTTTGCTGCCCTGAGAAGAGTATCTGCCAGCGGAGCCCTGGAGGCAGCTTCCCCAGGACCTCCCCCCTCCCTCCTGATGTGCCTGCATTCCTGGAGCTGTCATCACCTCTTCTTTAGCTCCTTAGAAAAGAGGTGGCAGGAGAAAAACGCTCAGTCATCTTGCAGAGACTTGGCATCTCTCAGCCACACGTTCTTATTAACTTAGTGGCGCAGTTGGCTGGCAGGTTCCCCGGTCATGTTCTCAGTGACTGGAGTTCTTGCTGTTTCTTGGACTCCTTCATGTCTCACCCAGACCTAAGTTCGGTCCTCGCTTCTTAATTAATTCATGTCCTTGTGTAATATGTGGCACACCCACATAGCCATGGGGCATGTTCAGGCTATGTTTTGTAATGCTCTGGCTTGTTCTACCCTTGCTAAGGGGGCAAGGACAGCAGTTACCTGGTTGGCTTAATTTGGGCAGCAGAACCTACACAGTGACTACCTGCTGGAATCCACCTGGCCTAGGCATCTCTCTCGCTCCCTCTTTTTAAATAAAAACAAGTGTTTCATATTACCATATTCAGAGAGGGGTTTTATTTCCTCCTGAACTCACAAAGGTCAGTCCAGAATGACCGTACAGACACTAGGAGATGAGAACTATACAAGTGAAATTAAGCAAATGTATAAACACAAGATCATCACCAAAAGGGGGAAGTGCTGTTCAGTTACTGATGCCAGTCCCTCTTCTCTAGGGGACCCTGGCAGCTGTAGCCAGATGTGGCCAGGAGTTCATCTCTGTCCTAATTCTGTTAGCATCCTCTTCATTTATAGTCTGGTTTTGCTTCTAAGTCTGCTTCTGCCTCTCAAGCTGTCTGCACACCATACTGTCTGCATTAAAATGATTTGCTTTCTTAAAATGAGTCTTGGCCCAGGCACAGTGACTCACGTCTGTAATCCCAGCACTTTGGGAGGCCAAGGCGGGTGGATCACCTGAGGTCAGGAGTTCGAAACTAGCCTGGCCAACATGGTGAAACCCTGTCTCTACTAAAAATACAAAATTAGCCAGGTGTGCTGTCACATGCCTACAATCCCAGCTCAGACAGGAGAATTGCTTGAACCCAGGAGGTGGAGGCTGCAGTGAGCTGAGATTGCACCACTGCACTCCAGCCTGGGCAAGACAGAGTGAGATTCCGTCTCAAAAAAATAATGGGTCTCAATATCAATAGTGGGGAATTCTCAGTGTCTCCATCAGCAGGTGCTGAAAGCTTACAGTAAAGGAGAAAATTTTCAATAGCTATTTTTTTAAAGAGATGGAGTCTTGTTCTGTCACCCAGGCCAGAGTGCAGTAGTGTGGTGATCACGGCTCACTGCAGCTTTGACCTCCCTGGGTCAAGTGATCTTCCTGCCTCAGCCTCCCAAGCAGCTAGGACTACAGGTGTGTGCCACCACACTCAGGTCATTTTTAATATTTTGTAGATATCTCACTATGTTGCCCAGGCTGGTCTCAAACTCCTGGTCTCAAGCAATCCCTCCATCTTAGCCTCCTGAGTCGCTGGGATTATAGGCATGAGCCCTGCTCCTGGCCCAGTAGCCATGTTTTTGAGGAGGTTTATTTTTATTCAGTATGTTTAGCTCTGCATGGGTTCCTTAAGATACCAGGCA